ACATTTGTAGTTTAAAAACTTGATTATAAATTACTCTATCATGCATTATTTGTAAACAATTAAATAAGATTATTTACAGACCTTATGAATATAATCACATTCAAATTAATGCAATAAAGGAAATACAAATATTCAAAAAATAAATTACTTTTTTACATAAAAAATATTGAAAAAATCAATTTAGAAGAGATTTTTTCAGAATTGCTGCAACCAATTAAATGGATAAAATAGGGGAAAATTGGATAATTTAACCCTTTGTTTACTTTTTTGTTATTGATTAACCATCCATAACAAACAAAATAACATGAATAATATATGGATGTACATTTGATATTAACTAGAAATTTCTTTAGGGGATTTACTATATCTGGTTCAATTTCTATAAATTTAATAAAACTTTAGACCATTCCTCAATTTCAATGGCATTGCACTAACCTGGACATGACTAAATTATTAAATTAAAAAATTAGCTATAACTAGAAAACAGAACAAAATATAATTTATGTTTTTATAGATGCTTATTTTTGTAAGTGCTTGTAAGTGCTGAATCAAACTTTGATATAACTGTGGTATATATCATTGCATCCTGTACACTGCTTAGAAGAGATATAATAAAATTTCTATAAACAATCCTACGTGAATAAAACAATATACATGAATACAAGGAGTCAAGAGTTTAAGTTTATTCTAATTAGAAGCATATCACTTTTTGTATTATTTAAATAAGCTACTGAAAATTTGTACTATATCTCCTCTAATCACTAAAAGTACTCGTGTGCATATCTACAAGTTGAAGCACCTAAGATTAGAGTCGAAAATATCTTTATTACTTTCAATGATACAACAAGATTTGTAAGTAAACATTTGTTTCCCTTATAAATAATTTTGTTGACTCATTAGAAACAACTAAGATATTTTAGATTCCATTCTCAGATGACTTACCTTGCACACACAACAAAAAGTATTGAACCACAATGCACAGTGATTATACGATGTAGCAAAAATTTGAATACTATCTTTATTATAAGATAAAACGTTTCCTTAATTTTCATTAGGTGAATGTCCCTTAAAAAGAACGTGTGAATATAAATCACCGCGCAGAAGCAAACCGATTTGATCTGAAGCGTTAACAAAATAAAAGTTGTGACAAACTAACCTGAGGCGACAGAATGTTCACACTGCGGCTAATAATATTTCAACATTATCATCGCGAAAAGAATGAAATGTAGCCTGTATACTACTTCAAAGAATACATCAAGATGTAGAAAGAGGACAAGTATGTGAAAGCGGAATTCCGTTTCCAGCTGCAGTGTGAAGGGCCACCTTTCCGCAATCGCGTCTCTCCAAGAGAACACTGGTGCAGAGGCTGAGAAACAGCGAGTGGAAACGGTCTACCATAAAACAAGAGGGCAAAAGTAGATAACGTAGTATTCACTCCTACACTTAGACTTACCAATCGAAAGATTTACCATCTTTCAAGATTGACTTGATATTTTGTATCACAACAAGTAACGCGTAAAATTATTTATGTACGACTTTGCAACAATACAACGTCCACATCAGCAGCTTATGAGTCTCTTTTTCTCATACAGCCGTCAACGTAAGACGATGTCATAATTGTTGTATAAAACTACAACTTCAATAGCAGGTACGCAGACAATATTATTATTAAATATCGATAAAAGGGGGTCGTAAACACGAATCCCTATTGCACCTTTCGAGCGAACAACAAAAGAAGAAATTCATTTCACAGTAACGACAGTCAATTATATGTATGTTGCTCGTCCAGCGATCGTTACGCCTTCAGGATAAAGGAACTCGATATTCATTTTTTCCCCATGACACTTATCGTGCATGTAAAAACTGTATAATTATTTATTTTCGTCTGGCAATCGAATTGGAAAAATTAGCCGACCGTTTCCACTGCACCTGGTAAACCCTCTCAGGCATTGACGTGATGTGTTTTTGCAATGACATATAATTAAAAAAACAAAGATTTTGCTAACTTCGTGTAAACTTCGTGGGAGAAGATGCGTCAAGTGCAGCCGCAGCCGATCAACGAAGTGTGTGTCTCTCCACGCGGGACTAACATGTTTTACGCGTGCTTCTTCCCTCTTCTCTCAGTCAGGTCCGGACCCTAATAAAATTTAGGGGCGGGCCCAGAGCACGAAGTGCAGTGGCGGGGTGGGCCCGTCCATTGGAGGTGATCATCTGAAGCGTGGGTGCATCATCGGAGCCAACATAGGCGCACCGGGGAAACCCATTGGAGCAGCGAATGCCGGGTGCATTGCGCCCGGCGGTAACGCTCCTATCATACCTGTAAACCAGAATGCATTATGAATAAATGTACTTGAATAAGATTATCTCCCCCTTATCTTTTCTCCATTCATCTTTTGTTACTTTTCAATGATTTTTTATATAGTCTTCGCGCGCGCGCGTGTGTGTGTGTGTATGTTTATATTATTATTATATATTATATATATTATATATTATATATATTATATATATATATATACATATATATATATATATATATACATACTTACGTTGCAAAAATTACAATTAAACATAAAT